AAAAAAGGGGGGAAATGTCAGAAAACAGCAGAAATAGGAAAAAAAATGGGGGAAATGTCAGAAAACAGCAGCAACAGGAAAGAAAAAAGCGGGAAAATGTCAGAAAACAGCGGAAAAATGACAGAAACGAACCAATAAGAGGCTCGACTGCAGAATCTGTTGGTCCCAGAGAAGTTTCTGACCTAAACTGAACCATTTCTCTGTAATTCCCAACTCTACCATCCCCGTCCTGCCCTCTAATCAGAGACCTGTGGGATGATTTAGAGGAGGAAGCTCCAGAAGCCGCCACAGGAACAAAACTACCACAAAACTTAACCTGCTCACAGAAACGTTTTCTTTTATGTTTAGTGGACGTGGAAACGTCTTTTAACGAGCGTTCAGAGGAGACTCGGACATTTCTGCGGATGCTAAATGCGTCCGATTTATGGATCGCGAGCGGGGGAAAACTGCTTTTATTTCTGTGGTTGCCCGGGGCGACGGGGCCTCGTTCGTTGGGCTGAAACCCTCACCGGGTCCGGATGCAGGACGCCTCCACGGCGTTGATGAGCAGGCTGCGGAAGCCGCCGCTCTCCAGGAAGTGCAGGGCGTGGATGGTGGCGCCCCCTGGTGAGCAGACGTTGTCCTTCAGCTGCCCGGGGTGCTGCTCAGAGTCCAGGAGCATCTTCGCTGCTCCCTGAGGAGGAACAGATAATATAAAAAATACAGTTTGGTGTGTACCTCATTCCTAGTTTGTATCCTGTAGTAACTGGTTCAGTTTGAGGAGGTTAATCACATTTAGGAGCTAAGTTAAATGGAGGAAAAGAAGTAAATGGTCATGTACGCGTACGGTGTCATGACCGGAAAGTAAAATAATGAAAACTGTGTTTTTCGCTGCTCCCTGAGGAGGAACAGATATTATAAAAAATACAGTTTGGTGTGTACCTCATTCCTTATCATGCTTTGCCTCATTAATAGGGGTGTCATGACAGAAAAGTAAAATAATGAAAACTGTGTTTTTCGCTGCTCCCTGAGGAGAAAAGGCACCAGGAGGGGGGTTTAAAAAATACAGTTTGGTGTGTACCTCATTCCTAGTTTGTATCCCGTAGTTATCGGTTCAGTTTGAGGAGATTAATCACATTTAGGTGCTAAATTAAATGGAGGAAAAGAGGTAAATGGTAATTTACGCGTACGGTGTCATGACAGGAAAGTAAAATAATGAAAACTGTGTTTTTCGCTTCTCCCTGAGGAGAAAAGGCACCAGGAGGGGGTTTAAAAAAAATACAGTTTGATCTGTGCCTCATTCCTAGTTTGTATCCTGTAGTTTTATCGGTTCAGTTTGAGGAGGTTAATCACATTTAAGAGCTAAATTAAAGGGAGGAAAAGAGGTAAATGCTCATATAGGCGTACGGTGTCATGACGGGAAAGTAAAATAATGAAAACTGTGTTTTTCGCTGCTCCCTGAGGAGAAAAGGCACCAGGACGGGGTTTAAAAAAAAACTTTCATTCTTTGCCTCATTCCTAGTCTGTATCCTGTAGTTATCGTTTCAGTTTGAGGAGATTAATCACGTTTAGGAGATAAATTAAATGGAGGAAAAGAGGTAAATGCTCCTGTAGGCGTACGGTGTCATGACAGGAAAAGTAAAATAATGAAAACTGTGTTCAATTATGACAGATAAAAGTAAAAGTAAAACAAGGCAGTGGGTTAAATTTGGTGGTCTTGAACAGACAGATTTTATTTATTTTTATTCTATTTGAATGTTTTGTTGTATCTAAGGATTAATGTGTATCTCACACTTTACTTCAAAACCACCCAGTGGACATTTTATTTATTTGATTTTTGCTTTTTCATGCAAGTCTATCACCCCCAGTTTGTTCCAAGTTGTTAGATGTCATTAAATTAACTTCCATGAAAGAAACTACTACTGTATTGTAATGCTCTCACAAAATAAAAATAAATAAATAAAAAAAGAAGTAAAAAAGGCACTTTCATCCTCAGTGACTGAAGGAAATGAGAAAAACAGGCGATAAATATGTTGCTTTTGGGCTTTTCTGTCATTTAAACTTTGTTCTAAAGGGATTCTGTCACTTTATGAGTTATAGACCATATCGGAAATGTATCTGAAATAATTACATTCAATACAATTAAGTGAAAGTAAGTACTATTCAACGAAAAACCTTCATTTTTAAAATTTATATTTGTTATCTATAAAAGCAGAATTTTTCTATTAATTTGATTTAACAAGATTTGAAATGTTCATCTAGTCATTTCTTAATCTAATTAATTGTAATTAATTGATTTAATCCTGTTTAAAATGGGACTCCTTTGGTTGTTGTTTATTAAGAGTTTGACGATTTTCTGAATGAAACTCAGCGCATCAAAAGGGCCTTAAAACAAGGACAAAAACAAGGGGTTATTTTGTTTTATTGTATTATATCTTTGTGTATCCTTATTTTGGGGTTGTATGACGAAGAACCTACAATTGTGACAAAGATGTTTATTTATGGAAAACTTCATATTGTCAACATTTGTGTCATGTACCTTTAATGCATGGTTGTATCATTGCTCTGCAAAAATAATAAAAGTCTAAGTTCTAAAAAAAATAAAAAAAATATCCTGAGTTAAAAAAACAAGGACAAAAACACAAAAAAACACAGTAAACCGAACTGACCAGCAGGGCCTGGGCCCCCAGGCGCACGGCGAGTCTCCGGGGGAGACCCATCTTCACGCCTCCATCAGCCAGAGCGTCCAGAGCCGTGAACGCCTGAAACACAAACACCGTCTCTGTGATTAGCCATGTTTGCTATTAATGTTTAGTTACCATGCATATGTTTCTAATAGGCACTGTTATGTTTGTTTACCTACAGAAACCACAACTTCACAACTTCATAACCTCACGACTTTACAACTTAACATGTAACAACTGAAGAACAAACTGCAATGAATACTCTGGAGGACCTTTTCATCATGCCTGCATTTTAATCAGATGCCCCACGGCAGCTCCTACAGATTTAAAACTAGGATCAGTCAAAACAGTCTCTTCAGACAGGAAAAAGCAGCAAACGCTCTCTAATACGTTTAGAAATTACACAAGAATCAAAAGTCAGAAGCTTTGTGTTGCAACAGATAAAAACCCGCCGACACTTTTCCCCTTAATGTGCTCGATTATCTTAAAGCAGGAGGAGTGGAAAAGTCATTATGGAGGCTGCCGCCCATCATGTTTTATAATGGAAGCTTTAAATAGAGAAATAAGAATTATTCTTAAGAATAAGAAGAAGTCGCACGCGTCTCTCTTCCCATTTCTGCTTCAGCCTAAGCCCGAAAATACGGCACACAATCTCTTAGTGACCTTTTTCTTTTTCTGAGGGTTCGAAATAATTATTCTGTATTTTCTGGAGTTCCAGGGCAAAAAAGTCTTACCTGCAGGGGATGAATTATAAAGAGAGCAGCATCAATAATAGGTTGAATGTTCCAAGACAAGTTTAATTTGAGTTTAATTTAAGATGTGCCAATTATCTGGTAAAAACCAGCATAAATTTAAAGTATTTAAAGGTCAGTTTTCTGTGGGAGTTTGGGCCGGATGGCCGGCAGCTGCTGAACATCTGGACCTTCCACGAGATCCTTCGGCTCAATCTGAGCCGGAGGGTTTGGGAGTTTGGAGCAGAGTTTTGGTTCTCCAGGTCCAGGCTCCATTAAACCGGCAACTTTGGGTCGTCTTCAAGAAATAACTTCTAGTAACTCCTTTTTTTTTTTACTCCCTCGTCTGTTTTTTGTGATTCTCAGAGCTCATCTCGGATGGGATCGAGACTATCAGCCAACAATTAGCTTCTGAAGGCAAAACTAGCTGGATTTAGCCTCATTAAGCCTCAGGAACCACGGTAACCACGGTAACCAGAGGCAGCAGAGTAAAGCCAGAGCTTCCTGATTATGCAAACAGGGGGTATCCCATCTAGGGATGTCCCGATCCAGCTGTTTTCACAGAGCTTGAATTGAATTAAAGTTATTTATTCTACTTACTTAGTGGTCAGACTCATGTTGAACTCTGATAACAACTCTGACAACAACTAGCAGCTGAAATAGGGGAGTTTGAATAAACACAGAATAGCCCAAATTATAAATAAACGGAAATGGCATCAGTAATCAGTAAAAAGTGAAAATAATATTGTAAACTGTATTAAAAAGGCAAAACACACAAACAACCTGAATAGAAAATAGTCTATTAACTCTCACACATCCCACACAACTGACATTTTTACCGATAGCTTCAGATTAAAAACGGTCATATTAATGGTTAGGACACAGACCTGTGGGTCAGGAGACCAGATATTAGGGAACAACACAGCAAAGGGGAATGGATTATTTTAATCCGAGTGCTGGAAAACATGGATTTAAAAAAAAAAATGGATCTGGGGTCTGGATCTGCATTTTCTCCTGCCGGCCGATACGCAGTTTTTTTGCAAATGAAAAACTATATAAATAAATATAAAAAATACATATGTATGTATTCAAAGGCCGACTGACATCCTGCTGTAATTAGCACCCAAAAAGCGGGATTTTCCTGCCCATTTTCCCTGCAGACTCACGTAAGCGGGGCCGCTGCCGCTCAGGCCGGTGACGGCGTCGATCAGGTCCTCCTCCACCTCCGTGCAGAAGCCCACGCTGGCCATCAGCTGCTCCAGAAGCTTTCCATCCTCCACCTTAAACCACCACAAAAAAGAAAACATTTATAAATAAATTACTGTATTTTCCACACTATAAGGCACCTAAAAGCCTTCAGTTTGATCAAAAAACCGACAGAGTGCCTTATATATGGATCAAGACTGAGGGTCTACAGGCCGACTCCATTTTCTCCCGTAGAAGAAGCAGTGCATGCTGGGAAATGTGACCGTGTGTAAAGACCCCAAAGACTGAAGAAGAAGAAGAATTGGAAGGATTCGTTGATGAGAAATGAACTGATAAAGAAATGTAGGTTTTTCTTGTGTGTTTCCAGCTGAATGTTGGTCTTATTGTGAATATGCACGTTAATGTTTGAACAACGTTGAGTTATAGTTGGATTGTTTTTGCTTTGCACTATTACTATATTGTTTGGTTTACGGTAACGTATCAGACTGTTCTGATCGGCCGCCGTTACCTCGGCGTGCGTCCCGGTGGCGTACACCGTGGCGCCCTCCCTCACCACCACCGGCGTGTTGGTCATGCACCGCATCACTTTGGGGGCCGCGCGGTGCTGGAGCAGCTTCTGCAAAAACAAAAAAAAAAGACCAGCTGAAGGAGAAATTCCCCGAGTTCCTGCTGGACTCCCTCAGCCACAATCAGCCACTGGTCAGAGTCCTGTTATTACTGTTATGATTATCATTACTATCAATATCTGGACCAGTTTTCACCCAGTCTATGTGGTACAATTACCCTGTTTTTTCTCTCTCTCTCCCTCCCTCTCTTCTTCCTCCTCCTCCTCCTCCAACTCCTTCTCTCTCTCTTTCTCTCTCTCCCTTCCCTTCCCCTCTCCTCCTCTCTCTCCCTCTCTTTCTTTCTTTCTTCTCCTCTCCCTCTCCTCCCTTCTCTCCTCTCCTCTCTGTCTGTCTCTCTCTCTCTCTCTCTCTCTCCCTCTCCCTCTCCTCCCTTCCCTTCTCCTCCTCCCCTCTTCCCTTCTCTCCCCCAGTCTCTGGTTCTGCTCCAGGTTTCTGGAGGTTTTTCCTTCCCTGTGTCTCCTAGTGCTGCTCTTGCTGGGAGCTGTTCTCTGAGCTGCTCTGTTTGGAAAGCTGGGAGATAACTGTAGTTGTGATGTGGCGCTATAGAAATAAAATAAAACTGAATTAAAGTTGAAAATAGGTCCGGCGGGCGGGTCCCAGCCTGAGTTTGGGTCCTCCGGCCCTCTGCTACTATCACAGCCACTGTTCAGAGTCCTGTTATTACTGTTATTTATCATAACCATCAATATCTGGACCAGTTTTCAGCCAGTCTATGTGTCACAATTACCCTGCTTTTTTTTCTCTCTCTCTCCCCCTCTCTTTCTCTCCCTCTCCTCCCCTCCCCTCTCCTCCCTCTCTCCTCCCTCTCTCCTCCTCTGGTTCTGCTCCAGGTTTCTGCCCCCTAAAGTCAGTTTTTCCTTCCCTGGGTGTCCTAGTGCTGCTCTTGGTGGGAGCTGTTGTTCTTCTGTAAATAACTCAGTCTGAGCTGCTCTCTTTGGAAAGCTAGGAGATAACTGTTGTTGTGATTTGGCGCTATAGAAATAAATTTGAATTGAAGTTGAAAATATGTCCGGCCGGCACCTTCTCGATGGAGCTGATGGTGACGCCGGCGGCGCAGGACACGATGAGGTGGCGGTCCTCGATGTCCGGCCCGATCTCGTCCAGGACGAAGGGGATGATGTGGGGCTTCACGGCCAGAAACAGCACGTCGCTCTTATTGACGGTCTCCTTGTTGCTGGTGGTCATGCTCACCCCCATTTTCTACAGGAGGGAAAACGGGAGGTAAACAGAGGCAAACAGAGGCCTCTTTAAGGGAAACCCATAAAAAAAACAACAACAAAAAAAACTACACACTTATTGTGATGCTTTATAAAAGAGCAGACGGAGGTCCAGGCAAACAGAGGCCTCTTTAAGGGAAACCCAATAAAAAAAAACAACAAAAAAAACTACACATTTATGGTAATGGTTCATAACCGAGCAGACGGAGGTCCTCACCCTCAGCCCGGTCACCGTGGGCAGGTCTGTGTCCGGGGAGCTGGCTGTGATCCGGTTAGCAGCGATCACCCCTAAATAGGCAAACAGCAGAAAACCAGGCAGGTGTGAAGCTAGCCAAGAAGCTAGCAGAGAAGCTAAGCTAGCCGAGAAGCTAACGGAGCCCCAGCGCTTCCACAAATCCTCCATCACGGCCGATGTGTAGCTGAAGGGCTCCCGTTCACATTTCCAGATCAAATCACACAGCAGGAGTGGTGAGAAACAACAAAAAAAACAACCCAAACAAACAGGGAAAAACAACCGTTTGCATCGGTTCCTCTGCCTCGTGCACACTGACCACAACATGGCAGCTCACAGGGAAAAGTTCGTCCAACCACAAGAGATCAAATCAAGATTCTCAGACCTTTCTGGTTGTCTTTGATACGTCACACGACCACCTTCGTATTGGAAAAACTAGACATTAATAGAATATGGCAGCTTTCAAGATGCCGGCCATGTTCCAGACATAGAATTTCTGATTCTGAATAAAGACAGGATTGTCCCCCGTATTTTGGACCTCTGAGACCGTGTTTGGCCATTTTGTTAAGAAGAAACTGGAGATATTCCATTGCTCCACAATAGTGGCTCAAAACAAGTAACTATCAGTCACAGCTCGGCATCATTTGATCACATCTTTAATGTCTGTGTGCGTTTGTCCAGGTCCAGAGAGGGAAAAACCTAAAACTAAGGTTGAATAAGTCGTGTTTAGCATCTTTAGAGTAAAGCCTCAATTCCACCAGGCTGCCCTTTGACATCCTGCGTCCCCATCTGCAAAAAGCAGCTCCTCCCTGAACCTTTTCCAGGTTTTGGGTTCTGGTTAGCTCCTGAGACCCTCTGCCTCCTCCCAGCGTTTCCCTGGTAACCCAGAGTCCTTTTGCATCCCCACTCCGTCTGTTTTTGTTATTAAAAAAAGACTTATTTTGCTCCCTGCGTCTGCGTCCACTCTTTAATCTATGTGTGGTAAAAGCTCTTCTCTCCTGATCCCAAATCAGAGCTAAACTCCTCATTTCAAAGGCACAAACACACTTTAAAGTGTCCGTCTATCAGTTGTAATGATTAGAAAACTAAGAGTATAAGGCAAAAGTAGCTACTCTTTTGTTCCAGTTTGATTCATTTTTCCAAAACATGGTAAAATTCGATGGCGTCTGCTGGCTGCTGTCCCTCAGATTGTGTCTCTTGGACAGTTTATGGTCTCTGCTCAGCACAGAATTGGCTCAAATTGGTGCCACGAATAGAGGAAACTTTGTCTGTGAGGCTGTGGTGTTTGGGTGCTGTGCAGCAGTCACCTGCAGCCGTGAAGCCCTTGACCAGGGCATGAGCCAGCTGGCCCGCTCCGATGAACCCCACGCTCATCCTGGATGATGTGGCGCTTCTGACCTGTCCAACACACACAGACACACAACCACACACAGACACACAATCACACACAACCACACAATGAGCCAAAACCTCTCGGCAAGCCTTCTGACACACGGCCCTCTTCTTCCCTTTCACCGTGAAAACAAAGAAATGCTTTGGGAATTTGGGGAGATTCCTGGAAACCAGGATGAGATTAACATATATAAAGTCTCATTTTACAGCATCTTATTTTACAGTGTGAACTCATCAAGTTACTCTCAGTAATAAACATTTAAAAGACAAATAAAATACACCGGAATTTTACCCGTATTTCACATCTTAGTTAACTCTTTAATCCTGTCAAATAAAACCGATACTAATTAAATAGCAGAAGTATTTCTGGATGTTATTAGCATCTGCTAGCGGATTGGAGCATCTGTGGTTGCTAGCTGCTTTGTTAGCTAGTTTTAACAAATAAAATGACAGATATATATCAAACAAAGGCGTACAGCTCACCCTAGAAGTCACAGCTGAGGTTCCTGCCCGGAGGAAAAGTTTTTGACGGGACGTTAGTCCCGACAGTCAGCCAGAAAAAAGCCGAAAAACCCCTCCGGTGTCAACGTGGCTTCCCTTTTTTACTCAACCCCATGTGCGGTAAAGCGGTGACAGGCAGAACTGCCAACCAATCAGGGCAGAGATGAGCCGCAGGTTCAGCCAATCATGACGCAGGTTACGAAACAGGGGCGGGGCCTGCGGTTAACCACGCCCAGTTGCATCATTCCTCGGAGTTTCAGCGCGATGAGACTTCAAGGAGAGAAAAAATAGGTCAGATATAGAAACGGAGAGCTGGAAACTGGGTCATGTATGTTTATACTGAGCCATATATGTTAAAAACGACATGTCCAGTACAGACCAGGACTCTGAGTGGTTATAAAACTGCTTGGGTTTCTCTTTGATTCAAACTAATCCACACGTTTGACATCATCTTTATCAAATCAAACAGTTTTTTAATAAATAAAAACGTATTTAGTAAAGTGGAAAAATTTGAAAAAAAGGCAAGTCAGTCATAATAAATCACCACAGGTGATAATCATCTCTGCTGGTGGCTGTTTTAAGCTTTATTCATTAGTTAATACAGATTGTGTGTACTCAGTGTTAGAGCCATTTAGAAATGGTGTTTATTAACTTCTGATTGGAATAATTTAGTTATGAGGAATTTATACTGTTTATTTTATTAATAGGCAATTGGTTTTATTTTGTATTTTTTTCACATTTGGTATTTTGATTCATGACTCAATGAAGCTCCTTTGAGTAACGTGATGTGAGCAGTTTTGTCTGTTGGAATGCGCATGCGCAGAGTACGTAAGAAAGGTAATGGAGCAGGGTGAACGTAAGGTTAAAGTTTTGGTTTATACTTACCGTAAAGTTTTTGTTTATACTTACCGTAAAGTTTTGGTTTATACTTACCATAAAGTTTTGGTTCATTGCTGGCAATTTTTTGTAAGTTTGACGTTCGTCATAAACTGAATTATTTTTTTACATCGGTTAGCGTAAGTTTTTAAACCAAGCTGAACGAGTCAAAACCTTTACGCAGAAGTGGCAAGGAAAAGGTTTAATTTTTGAAGAAAAGGTATTTAGCCACTACGCTCAGCATCTTGTAGGAGAAAAGAGAAGGAAACACTGATATTTACAACACTACCTGTATCTAATCAATGGTGTAAATGGGTTCAAAGTGCAGTGCTAATTTCAGAGGATTTGGGATATACAAAAAAGAAAAAATACAGTTATTTACAAACCTTACAAACAAATTTAATTCACAATGGAAGAGAGAAAATATTAAAATAAAAGTTTTATCCCTTTCACCGAAATATGAACTGATCCTAGTTGGCTTCTATGTTTAAATGATCACCTCTACAGCATTAATGCAACCCAATACATCAGAGATGCAGTTTTTTTTTACTGATAACTGATATAAAGTTGCTCTCTTCTATAATTTGGATCTTATGATTTCCAAAACTAATGAAAAACTCTGGCTGGTCCTTCCACGGACTTTGTCTCTCAGCCCATTCCAGGTGAGCTTTGGTCCAGAGGAGACGGCAGAGTAGCTGGATCATGTTCACATCTGGCTTCTTGGTGAATCTGCTCTTTCGCCGAATCCTCCAATTTTATTCTCATTGCTCGTGTCCTGGGCAACAAAATTCACATGACTGTTATCCTCTTATTTTCCAAAGGTTACAGCCATGAAATGAAAAGTCAGCTCACATTTTTTAAACAATACTGGAATTGGTAACACGCAGCACAATCTATGCGTAAACATTTGCAAACCTTTATGTTTTTCCTTATTCTTATTCTTATTATTTATTTTAGCTGTTTCCCTTTGTCAGTTTAACCCCTTTTTCTCTCTGTTGGTCACATGATGAGGGTTAGCCAATGAGGGCTTTTGCCTGTAACCGACCCTTAATGCTGAAATTCTCCATGTCAATATACAATTTAAATCAAAGGTCAGCCTGATTTTCATTCATCTATACATAGATCCGTATCTAGATCTGTATATCGATTATCAATTCAATATATCCGTGTTTTATGAGTGAAAACAAGCTGTGTTTGAGTTTAAAATGCGTTCTGATGTTTAGTAGTGATCCCATTCCCTGACATTTGAACATGAAAAAGCATTGTTGGTTCCCTCAGCTGGTTGTAAAATGTGAATTTAAATGAGCGATTGTTATTCTGTTTGGGGACTGCCGACTTGTGCTTTTTCATCCCTTCAGATTTAACAGAATTTTGAATAAAGTTGAACGTCTCCGCTAATGAGCCTCCGAATACGAATCGGCTTTTGCTGCCAATCCCTTGTTGGTTCACTCATGCATATTCTCCGAATCAGCCTTGAACTTTGCCTGTAACTGTCAGCTTGGTGTAAAAATCTCCCCTTTACACATTTTAATAGGTCTGACCCTCCTCTTGTCAGAGTCTGGCCCCTTTGATGCCGAACCGTGTCAGGCTGGGCTAAATTTACTCCCCACAGAGGAAGTGGTATGTCCCCTCCGAGGGAGCGTTTCGGTTTATTTTCACGCTGGAACGCAGACTGAAGGGTGGCGTATGCTGACGTCTAAATATAAAGCAGAACGCAAAGCCCCGGGCCTGAAAGCTCCAGCTGCCCGACTCTCTTTGTCAGCTTTAACTGAAAAGATAAATAAAGGAAATAGAGGAGTCTGGATCACCGAATGCATCAGTTCTGGTGTCCCTTCTTCTCCTTTTGTAAACACACATCCAGTCACTTTCTAGGCTAATTCTAATGGATCGATACCAATATGTAAGATTTAAAATTAACATTCACATTAAGAAAATTGTATCATTTGAGAAAATAGCTCCAGATGGTGGTCATGAGGCTTCTCAGCCCAGGAACAAACCAATAGTGCTCACTTTAGTGTTGCATTATGGGAAATCTACCATTCAGAATCTTTAAATCTATCACAAATAAATAGTAAGATGAAGAATCTTACTATCTTACTAGGTCAAAAACACAGATTTCCCCTATAAGCACCTGAATTTAATCTGTGAAAATTCCCGTTGGATGGAGGATGCAGCTGTAAAAAACTTTTATTCAAACAAAAGCTGTGAAGCCAAAAACATTCAGTCCAAAACAAACAATTTACAAACAGACATTATAACTAGGATTCACTTTTAGTTTTTTGGAGAATTATGGACAGTTTCCTCCTTTCTCTCCAGTTTATCCCACAGTCATTGACTCCTGTTTCTGAGCCTCCCGTTGCTTTTGGTTTTCTGTCTGACCAAACATTTATAATATATAATATTTGTTTAGGTGGGTTTTTCTCAGGGAATCGTCCAAAACAAACGGACCCGAGTGGATCGATGTTTCTGTGTTTGCCCACTCGATGCCAAGAGAAAAGAGAGGAGGAAGGGAGGAAGAAAGAGAGGAAGAAAGAGAGAGAGAAAGAAAGAGATGAACAAAGAAAGAGAGTGAGAGGAAGAAAGAAAGAAAGAAAGAAAGAGAAAGAAAGAAAGAAAAAGAGAGAGAAAGACAGAAAAAATGGAAGTGAAAGAAATAAAGAAAGAGAAAGACAGAAAGAAAGAAAGAAAGAAACAAACAAACAAACAAACAAACATAGAGAGAGAGACATAAAGAAAGAACCATGCCTATACTTCCGGCCTCTCGGGGTTTCTCCTTTTCCTCCTTTGGTCTGAACACACTGAATTTTTAATCTTTGGAGAAGACAAAACTGAGTCTGAGTTAGAATGTGACGCCACTGGAAACAGCTCCTGGTTTCATTCACAGTTTTCCTGGTGTGAAAAGCTGGAGGGTTCCCGGTTTGAATCCCGGCTGGAGGCCTCTCTGTGTGGGGCTCGTTTAGATGTGGTTGGGTGGTTGTGTGTCTCTGTGTCATGGCGACCGGTCCCGCCTCTCGGCCAATGAGAGCCGGGCAGGCTGTTTACGTCCTGCTCTTCCAGTGGAAGTTTCCCCTTTAACTCTGTGAGTTTCCAGTGTTTTTTCTGAACTTTTTCTTGTTTTTTAGTTCTTATTTTGTTTTCTATTTCCTTGTTTCTAATTCCTGCCCATCTCCTCCAGTCCTTCTCCCTCTCCTCCGATTGGTCCCTGCTTTTCATTTCCCACTGGAGCTCCTTCTTTCCTGTATCCATGTTCACATTTATTTTGTATTTTGATTATTTAGTTGGTTCATTTATGTCCTGTTTATGCCTGTTTCTGCCCAATAACATGATTATTACAGCGTTTTCCTTTTGTTTTTTAGCTTTTTTTGTGCACAGAGTCATAGAAATTCACCAATATGATCAGAAGAACAACAACAAAACTACAAAGTCACAGTTTTGACACAAATCTCTCTGTAAACCAGCTTCCCGGGGTTCGGAAACCACGTGTGGGGGGATATTATCGTGTTTTTTTTTGTCGCTCTGTTTGCACACAAACCAGCAGCAGCTCGCAAATCAAAGTCACTTTTGACCCGATGGAGCTTTGACAGAAAACAGGAATCCGTCTGAGGGGAGAATCGGACTCAGACCTGGCTAAATAATAATTGTCACGTCTGGGGGAATTTCTGGTGTTTTATGTCTTGATTACCTATTGTGTACACCTGGGGTTCCCCTCCCTCATGTGTTTAAATAGTCCTCGTTTCCCATGTCCTGGCCCAGTGCGTTTTCGTCTTTCGTCTGTCTGTTTTCGTCACCCCTCGCCACGTAAGGTTTGATTTTCCCACAGCCTAGTTTACTTTATTGCCATAGTTTTGTTTTTGTTCCATAGCCATAGTTTTTCACAGCCACGCCACAGCCTTGTTAACCTTATTGCTTTGATAGTTTTTTTTCACAGCCTTGTTTATTGCTTTTGCCATAGCCTTGTTTACTCTTACTTTGATACTTTGCCTCAGTCATGTTAATCTTGCTTTGTTACTTTGTTCATAGTTTTTTCCACAGCCTTGTTTGTTGCTTTTGCCACAGCCTTGTTTACTCTTACTTTGATACTTTGCCTCAGTCATGTTCATCTTGGTTTGTTACTTCGTTCATAGTTTTTGCCACAGCCTTTTTTAACTTTGTCTGGACATCCACTCTTTGAG